TGTTTCGTTATGGGCCGTGACGAAGATTTGGCTTCGTGTTTGAGTTTGGGGCCCGTTTGGTGAGTGTGACTCTACAGCAAAATCGTATCTGCTGCTGTAACTTGGGTTTATGTTTTTTAAGCATATGTAGGGGGGGTATGTTCCGTGAAGGTTTTTTTGGCCGGTTTTAAAAGGCCTGGTTTTTGCCCTTGCTAGGCCGTGTGTTACCTCATGCGCACCCTTGTGACATCGGGGGGCATGATAATGTTTTCACATGCTCGCTCGGGGAATGCCGGCTATCGTTGCATCATGTAGCGGGGGGGCATGGTCGGTGAAGGTTTTTCCGGTCGGCTAAAAAAAGGCTTGGTTCTTGCTCTTTTCCGTTTGTTTTTTCGGCGTTTGCAAAGCAAAAAGCCATTAAAAATAGTTCATATATCTTTTGTAGCCGGAAATAAAATTGTGGGTGGCATGAATTTTGTTTTTCACATGTGGTTTTTGAAGTGTGGGCTTTCGGAGAACCACTGCTTTTGCCGTTTTGGCTATTGCTTTTTCGTCGCCCCAAATGTTTGTTAGTGTGTTTTGCATATCATTATGATCTAAGAATGATGTTTGGTTACGGGCTGTGACGAGGAATTGGCTTGGTGTTTGAATTTGGGGCATGTTTGGTGAGTGTGACTCTACAGCAAAATCGTATCTACTGCTGTAACTTGGGTTTATGTTTTTTAAGCATATATAGGGGGGTATGGTCGCTGAAGGATTTTTCGGTCGGTTTTAAAAGGCCTGGTTTTTGCCCATGCTAGGCCCTGTGTTAGCTCACAACCTCCCTTGGTGCCTCGTTCGGCTAGTGTCCCACCCACTAGCAACAAGAACAGACGTCAGAGCTAATGCAGTTCGAGTTGGCGGTGGGAATCGGTGCTGGGCATCGGTTTGTTGGCCCCTGAAATGCTGGTTGTTGGGATGCCGGCATTTCAAGCGAGGATGATTAGGATGTCTTGTGGGGCTGACACTCCGAGGTCGGATTTCAGTGTGCCGATGTTAGGTGTGTCGGCCCTGCACTGGCTCCTTTCCTTCCGGCATTTGGTTCTTCCATTACACCCACCCAGGTAGAAGGACCAGGCGTCGGGGGCTTGTGCAGTCGGTTTTATGGTGGCTCTACGTGGGTGGGACGGTTGGCTACGGTTTTCTTGGCCTTCGAAATGCCGGTTGTTGGGATTCCGGCATTTTGAACGGGGATGGTTGGCTATTTCGTCCTCGCTGAGTCGGCTCTCGGAAGGTTGGATTTCGGTTAGCCAAATTTTGTTAATTTGGCTCGGTGTGCCGATGTTAGGTGTGTCGGCCGTGCTCTAGCTCCTTCCCTTCCGGCGTTTGGTTCTTCCATTACACCCACCCAGGTGGATGGACCAGGCGTCGGGGGCTAGTGCAGTCGGTTTTATGGTGGCTCTAAGTGGGTGGGGTGGTTGGTTGCGGTTTTGTTGGCCTTCGAAATGCCGGTCGTTGGGATTCCGGCATTTCAAACGGGGATGGTTGGCTATTTCGTCCTCGCTGAGTCGACTCTCGGAAAGTTAGATTTCGGTTAGCCAAATTTCTTTAATTTGGCTCCTTATGCCGATGTTAGGTGTGTCGGCCCTGCTCTAGCTCCTTCCCTTCCGGCGTTTGGTTCTTCCATTACACCCACCTAGGTGGATGGACCAGGCGTCGGGGGCTAGTGCAGTCGGTTTTATGGTGGCTCTAAGTGGGTGGGATGGTTGGCTGCAGTTTTGTTGGCTTTGAAATGCCGGTTGTTAGGATGCCGGCATTTCGAACGGGGATGGTTGGATATTCCGTCCTCGCTAAGTCGACTCTCGGAAGGTTGGATTTCGGTTAGCCAAATTTCTCTAATTTGGCTTTGCCGATGTTAGGTGTGTCGGCCCTCCACTAGCTCCTTCCCTTCCGGCATTTGGTTCTTCCGTTCCACCCACCCAGGTGGAAGGCCCAGGTGTCGGGGGCTAATGTAGTCGGTTTAATGGTGGCTATAAGTGGGTGGGACGGTTGGCTACGGTTTTGTCGGCCTTCGAAATGCCGGTTGTTGGGATGCCTGCATTTCGAACGGGGATGGTTGGCCAGTTCATCCTCGCTGAGTTGACTCACGGATGGTTGGATTTCGGTTAGCCAAATTTTGTTAATTTGGCTCGGTGTGCCGATGTTAGGTGTGTTGGCCCTGCGTTAGTTCCTTCCAATTCGGCGTTTGGTTCTTCCATTGCACCCACCCAGGTGGAAGGACAAGGCGTCAGGGGCTAATGCAGTCGGTTTTAGGATGGCTCTAAGTGGGTGGGATGGTTGGCTACGGTTTTCTTGGGTCTTGCATGGAACTCATCGACGCGACTGTCATGGGCACCAGGCATTCGCTGGTGGGCTGACTGCTGAGTTAAAAACTTGGCCTTTGGTCTGTTGGTGGGTTGTGCGGTGTGTATGATGTTTGCGATGCGTAATTGTGTGTGAGATGTATTTGGTTTTCATGGTCAGGTTTGATCCTTGCTGTAGCAGTGAAAACTTGCCGTGAAAGCCTTTTCAATTTGGTGGGTTCCGCCTTTGTCTGCAATGGTTTCCTTTGTTCTCTACCCTTTCGGTGGCGTCCTTACGTTCCAACTGCTGAGTTCTGTCGTGTGCCTGCTTGTGTGGGAACCAAAGGGTTGGCATTCGATTGACGCCATGGCACCGCTTGTGGTACACTATCTGTTGTCTCTTTTCCGGAAAGTTTTGGCCCATTGGTTGTTGTTGAGTACTCGGGTTTGGTACACTAACGGGCACTGGTTAAGAATTCTCTGTTAGCCTAACTCTGCCCATTAAGTATTTTGTCCTAGGGTTCCCTGGTTCATTATTGGTTTCACCTTCACTTCTGTGATTGTGTTTCCCTCCGTATGACCGCCTATGATGTGTTGAGTTTGAGTTCGGTTTTGGCGTGTCAAGGTGCATTGAGGAATGATACCTGGTTGATCCAGCCAGTATTCATATGCTTGTCTCAAAGGTTAAGCCATGCATGTGTAAGTATGAACAAATTCAGACTGTGAAACTGCGAATGGCTCATTAAACCAGTAATAGTTTGTTTGATGGTACCTACTACTCGGATAACCGTAGTAAATCTAGAGCTAATACGTGCAACAAGTCCCAACTCTTGGAAGGGATGCATTTATTAGATAAAAGGTCAATGCGGGTTTT